ACCTGCTGACTGAGGGGGCTCAAAGGTCCTGCAGCTCCTCCACAACCTTGTACTTGAGCTGTCAAGTGTGAGAGATGGGTGCCAAATTCAACCCAACAGAGCTCCTTCCCAGTGGCCTTTGACAACCCCTCCGTGTCAAATCCAACAGTTTACACAGGACACATGGTGCAGCCAGTCCTCCGGAAGACGCGGGCAGCGCTGCTGCTTCCCTGATGGCGGGGACACCCATCAGCTTCCCCCAGGGCTGACATTTCAGGCTGGCAGCGGGGAGATGCTCATGAGGATTTTTTGTGTCGCTGTTTCTAAATGGACTGTAGAGACTTTCAAGGCAAATCGCCTCACTTGTCCCCATCTGCCTCGAAGAAGAGTCAGTGTGATGCAACAATGCAACTCCAAAAAAACTTTTTTTTAAATTTTGGTATTTATAAAGTAGAACCGTCAGGTGGATGGTTTATAGAACTTATGCAGGATTCCCTCGGTTTGAGTCTGTCTATGTTAACCTCTAACGCTTTGGGCACTGGAAACTCCACGCCCTTCTTCTCACCGCCTGGAGAATCTCTGAACGGTAGAGTGGGAGGGTGGCTGTGAGCAGTGCTTCGGTGTTTCTTGGGGTTCCCCTAATAAATAGGAACCAGAAGTTGTGCAATTAGCCTTTGATAGTTGGCCTCCTCGTGGAATACAGCATAGATAAGGCAAGTTGCTGGCTTCCAGATCAAGAAGAGCCCAGTAGTAGACTCTTTGTCCTTTAATTTGGTGCAAAGAAGAACGTTTCAGTCACAAGAGGGATTAGATGGCCAAACAAAGAGAGAAAAGGAAGAACACAGATACGCGCTGACTGTGGCTTTCTAAGACCCACAGCGGTGACGGGCTTGTGTCATTAAACTCGGTCTTTTCAGTCCCACTTACTGGACTGTTCCAATGTGGGAATGACTGTGCTGTACTGTAGCCAATGGGTTAGGAGTATTTTTCCTGAAGTTTACAGAACTTGTTACCTAATTACTAAGTGTATCCATAATGGTTCATACTGGCAGTAGTGGTGATACTGTGTGTGTATGTGTGTGTGGAGAGTGAGAATGGGGTGTGTGAAAGGTGTATATGTCTGTATACATGAATGAGAATGATACATATACAAAGATGAAAGAAACAGAGTCCTTGCTTTCAGAGTTCTAATTAAGCAATAGAAACATGAACACATCCATCACATCCCTCATTGGTAACAGTGTTAATACAAATTGTGTAATCTCTTCTGCACCTCTGTCTCATCACAGGCCAAGGACACTCACAGCACTGACTTCACTCCAGAGCCCAGTGTGTCATGTGGTCAGGTGGGGATTCCTTGGTGCAGAAGATACTGGACCAGTAAATATTCTTCGTCTTAATTCCCTCTCTTCCATTAAACTTGTTTCACCAATAAAACCCCCAACATCATCTACAACTTCCTTTGGAGTGAAAACACAGTTAGAAATCATTTCAAATTGTCTCTATGACTACTATTCAAACTTGGAAATTGAAGTAGGTGATCTCTGGACTTTTAAACTTCTTCTTAAGCATGTTCTGCTCATATGCATACTTCTTATACCTCTAAGAATATATAATTTAAATGTCCTTTCTTTTTCCTGATAGTTGTTAAGTGATGGAGATCAAATACTAGTCACCGAGTGGGTAACCATTCCAGTAACCACCATGCATTCTGCTGCTATGCTAAGAAGCATTACCAGGGAAGTAGAAATTTTAAGAAAACAATTACAGAAGTGACAATGGTTAAATGAATAACTTACACGAAGCTAGGAAACAGCCAGCTAGCTGAATCTTGATGATTGATAGGTTACTCAGATAATTTACATATGGAGGACACTTTATTCTTTAGAACATCCTTTTTTCACATGCTTCACATACATAGATCATTTGACCTTCAAAAAAAACTCACAAAAGTTTGAGGAAACTACAGGTTAGAAAGGGTAAATAGGCTATCCAAATTCAGAGTCGGGTGTGTGTGTGTGCACGTGCGTTTATGCAGGCAGATTTAATTTTGTACTTTTCACTTCTGAGCGCATGGTCTTTTCCATTAATTACACCACAAAGCTTTCCTGAAATGCAAAGCTGCTTTTAACATTAGGAAAAGAAGTAAAAAGAAACAGAATTCTTATATGCAATTGTCTGATAGGTTTTGTTATGGACTTAGAAAGTTACTCAAATTACAAGAACTAAAATATTATGGCGGCTTTCCTTTTGTGTGGTAAGCCTAAATGAACAACTGTGAGAGTCAATACAAGCATCATTTAAGAAATATTATTTATAAAATTAATATTATTTAATAATTAATAATATTATAATAATAAAATTAAGACTCATCAAGAGATAGAAAGAAAAACTCATAATTAATATACATCAGATGGCAAGTATAAAAAAATCAGTATTTTAAAAGTTCATCCTGGAAACC